TTCTGAGGCACCACCTGCCCATCAAGGCTAACCTCCTCCTCCTCACACCTAGTAGTACTGAAACCGCACATCATATACTCAGTTTTAGTTCTACTAAGCCTAAACCCTTTCGATTCCAAGGTTTGTCTCCATAACTCTTTAACTTCCTATTTACCCCCATCCGACTATCGTCAACTAGCACCACACCATCCGCAAAGAGCATACACCATGGGATATCTCCTTGTATATCCTTGTGACCTCATCCATCACCAAGGCAAAAACATAAGGGCTCAATGTTGACCCCTGATGCAGTACTATCTTAATTGGGAAGTCATCAGTGTTGACATCACTTGTTCGAACACTTGTCACAACATTATCATACATGTCCTTGATGAGGATAATGTACTTTGTTGGGACTTTGTGTTTCTCCAAGGCCCACCACATGACATTCCGCGGTATCTTATCATAGGCCTTCTCCAAGTCAATGAACACCATATGCAAGTTCTTCTTTTGCTCCCTGTATCTCTCCATAAGTTGTCGTACCAAGAAAATGGCTTCCATAGTCGACCTCCCAGGCATGAAACCAAATTGATTTTTGGTCACGCTTGTCATTCTTCTTATGCGATGCTCAATGACTCTCTCCCATAGCTTCATTGTATGGCTCATCAGCTTAATTCCATGGTAATTAGTACAACTCTACATATCCCCCTTGTTCTTGAAGATTGATACTAATATACTCCGTCTTCATTCTTCTGGCATCTTGTTGGCCCGAAAAATGAGGTTGAAAAGCTTGGTTAGCCATGCTATCGCTATGACCCCAAGGCCTTTCCACACCTCAATGGGGATACAATCAGGGCCCATCGCTTGCCTCCTTTCATCCTTTTTAAAGCCTCCTTGACCTCAGACTCCTAGATTTGCCGCACAGAACACATGTTGGTCTCATCAAAGGGGTCGTCCAGTTCAATGGTAGAACTCTCATTCTCCCCATTGAACAGCTTGTCGAAGTACTCCCGCCATCTATGTTTAATCTCCTCTTCCTTCACTAGGAGTTGGTCTCCTCCGCCCTTGATGCATTTGACTTGGCCAATATCCCTCGTTTTCCTCTCTCGGATCTTGGCCATCTTATAGATATCCCTCTCGCCTTCCTTCGTGCCTAACCGTTGGTAGAGGTCCTCATATGCCCGACCCCTTGCTTCACTGACAGCTCGCTTTGCCGCCTTCTTCGCCATTCTGTACTCCTCTATGTTGTCTGCACTCCTATCCAAGTATAGGCGTCTGAAGCAATCTTTCTTCTCTTTAATCGCCTTCTGGACATCATCATTCCACCACCAGGTATCCTTATCTTCGCTTCTCCTTCCCCTGGACACTCCAAACTCCTCCGAGGCCACCTTACAAATGCAAGTCGTCATCTTCATCCACACATTGTCCGCATCCCCTCCTTCCTCCCAAGGGCCCTCCTTAATGACCCTCTCCTTGAACGCATGAGCTACCTCCCCCTTGAGCTTCCCCCACTTCATTCTAGCGACTTTGGCACGCTTATCCCGCTGGACATGAATCCAAAAGCGGAAGTCAACAACCACCAGCTTATGCTAAGGTACAACACTCTCTCCAGGTATCACCTTACAGTCTAGGCACGCACGCCTATCTTCTCTTCTCGAGAGGATGAAATCAATCTGGCTAGAGGTGTTGGCCACTACTAAAAGTCACCAGATGTGATTCTCTCTTTCTAAAGAGGGTGTTAGCTACAATCATGTCGTAGGCTAGAACAAAGCTTAAGACATCTTCTCCTTCTTGATTCCTGATCCCATAGCCAAAGCCCCCATGCACTCCTTCAAAACCTGTGTTAGATGTATCCACGTGGCCATTGAGGTCTCCTCCTATGAAGAGCTTCTCGCCAATCGGTACACTCCTAACCATGTCTTCCAGGCCTTCCTAGAACTCCCTCTTGGTGTTCTGATTATGGCATACTTGCGGGGCATACACACTGATAACATTGAGAACTAAGTCCCCAACTACCAGCTTGACCAGGATAATCCGGTCCCCACGTCTCTTGACGTCTACCACTCCATACTCGAGGCTCTTGTTGCTCAAGATGCCTACGCCATTTCTGTTTGCAGTCGTCCCTGTGTAACACAGCTTGAAGCCGGTACCCTCCACCTCCTTCGCCTTCTGTCCTCTCCTTTTGGTTTCTTGGACGCAAATGATATCAACACCTCTCCTCACCGCTGCATCAACTAGCTCCCGAATCTTCCCTAACAGAGACCCTACGTTCCAGCTACCTAAGCGAATCCTCCTAGACTCGGCTAGCTTCCTTACCTTTCGCACTTGTCGAGTCAAATGCAAAAATGCTTGCTCATTTTCCACTACATCCGGGCGCTAATGTAGCGTGCCAAGGATGCGACGACCCGATACTCACTCACTTGCCACCGTATCCAGATCAAAATACAACGCGCCACCAGGCGGGTGACGGCCCGGCCCTTACCCATTTGACACCACACCCGGGTTCCGATGTGGCGCGTCGCTGAGAGGGTTACGCCCCAACGAAAAATCTTTTGAGTTTCATCTCCATAAGAGTGGCTGAGTTTTTACATTGGCTCGCCAAGCCTATCACAACCCTCCCCCTTTACCCGAGCATGGTACCGGCTATGTTGATACAACATAGGCGGAGTTAAATTAATTTCGTTAGATCATCTGACTTAAATTACTACCTGATTGTTTCACCTCTCCGAGGAAGGAGAGAGAAAGTTCTACGTACGATAGAATTCATTGGGGTGGGCCAACAGTCTGAATTTAACTAAAAAATGGAGTTGGGTCTTTCAAGGGTATTGGAGGGAGTACACACTCTGCAAACCACATTATAAAAAGTAAACTTTGCAGCAGAAGTTGAGTACTTACTGACAAATTTTACTTTGATTATTGCTGTTGGCGACCTGGGCATTACAAGCATCTCTCTTTCTCTTGGGCTTCAAGAGAGGCTTTTGAACTTGATTATTGCTTCTACTCTGCAAATCATCATCATCACTTCTACTCTGCTCATCACAATTGTCATCGCTTCTACTCTGCTCATCACCATCCTCATCACTTTCACTCTGCTCGTCACCATCCTCATCACTTCCACTCTGAACATCATCATCCTCAACACTTTCACTCTGCTCATCATCCTAATTAGAAAATAGATTGGTTAGTTAAAGCCCACAAAAATAACTCATAAGAGACCAATAAATGGAAAACATTATAAAAAACAAAGTCTGAATCATTTCAAAGGTAGTGTTGAATAAGCAGATCCTGGAAATCAAAACTCAAGTTGGTGGTAATGCAACAAGATGAGAGACCCTGCCCTAGAAATTTGGTACCATGTGAGCCGGTGGCTAACACCCTCACATCCGCCAAGAGTGAGTCGAGAGACAGGTGAGGATCTTTTTCTTTTTACATGGGTGGGTGCATATGGAGGAAGCACAAAATACGAGTGGGGGAGGGAGTGAAGGAGGGGACAAGGGTAGAAAAATTGCAAACGTAATTAGCACCTGATATGTAGCCTTTGGAAAGAAGACAATTCAAGTG